TCTCTCTCTCTCTCTCTCTCTCTCTCTCCATTTTTGACATTTTCTGAGGATAAGTTTTTTTTTTTTTGAAAACTTTTGCTGTAGCACAATTTTGCTCTCAATCGTCTATATTTTACCCCTTATCCTTTCCAACTTTTTTTATCTAAAAAGTATTTCTATTTTTTCATCCAAAAATATTTCTATTTTTTTTCATCCAAAAAATATTTCTATTTTTTTTTTTCTGTGAAAAAAATATAAGAAAAAAGAGAGATGAAAAGGAGAAATTTGCAAATTTCAAATTTATTCTGTTAGGTACGAAGACAGAAAGAGAGAGAGAGAGAGAGAGAAAGAGAGGGGGAGAGGAAAAGAGAAGAGGAGAGAGAGACAGAAGCGGAAATATTATCCCACTTTAGTGCATCATCATTCTCTCTTGTTTTATATCAGTTAACATTTCATTTACATCTTTGAAAGGATAAAACAAAGAAATGGATAGATACATACATATATTTTATGTGTAGGAACCAACAGAATGATAAGAATGATAAAAGAGTGAGGAGAAGGAAATATGATTAACAACAATCATTGTTTAAAAAAAAAAAAAAAAGAAAAAAAAGAGAGAAAGAAAGGAAAAGAAAAAAAATGAAGAAGAGGAAGAAAAGAAAAATTTGACAGTATGAATGAAAACAATTCTTGTAAAGTGTTAATATTGTAACAATTTGTTACTAAGAACAAGTATTTGTATCAAAATTGATATGATATTTTTGTAAAAAAAAAGGTCATCAATAGTAAAGTAAATGTTGGATTAAAGGTCAAAGGTTTTATTTGCATAAATGATAAAAATTACATTTATTCAGTTTGAATATTATTTTCTTCTTTCTTTTTTTTCTTTTTTTTTTACATTAAATATTAATTTTTTGAAAAAAAAAAAACAATAAACAGTCGTTCAAGCAGAAATTTCTTTTTCCTTTCCTTTTTTTTGCACTATTTTAAATTTTTATAGCTTTTTGCAGTTCTCTTTCTTAATTTCATTCAATTCTTTTTTATTTTCCTCAATGTGATTCCAATGAACAAATTGCTAACATCTCCTAATAACATTTCATAAACAGTAACAAATCAAAAATGCTAGCATCGAATTTTGGAAAACTTTAACTCCTTATCTATTTAATATATTAATTAGTTTAATTTGGCTAATTAATACTTTGATAGGTGTAGAATTGTAAAAATTTTTTTTTGCATGACAAATCACTAAAGCGAATATGAGTAGTTCAATTAATTTCATTAGAATTCACAGACCATCTTTGCTGTTTGAAAATTTTCAATTCGATTTTCTTCTAAAACGATTCAATTCATTTCTCCGTAACCACTAATCCTGTTGTTTCATTTGATAATCTTCTGTAAAATTTTACGCTTAATTGTAATTTTTCTAATATTCTGATAGGTTAACATTTTGAGAAATTAAAATAATGGTGATAAGGTTACCTTGTTAATTGGTCATTTCAGTTGTTTTCTTCAAAGTACAAAAGTTCAAAGTCTCATTCAACAAATTTTATTGAATGGTAATTCAATGAAATTTGTTGAATGAGAATTATTGAATGAATGATTCCTTCCTTAGAAGTAAATAATCACGAATTCTGCATTGCAGAAAAACTGCTGAATGAATGGCTAATATCAATAAACATAATAGAAGTTATGAATTTTGAATAGAATATTTCGGTTCAAAAAAAAAAACAAAAAATCCAACTCGTATCACCGATCATCTTCTGGACGATCAAACAAATGGGTATTGCTGTTATGTGTCGAATAGCTCAATTCATAAAACAAAGGGACGGAGAGAACAAACTTGTCATACATATATAGATTAATTAGCATTAATTGGCTTAAACCATCTGGTAGGTAGAATTTAAGAAATGATATTTGAGAAAAGTTATCATCCGATACACAATCATTTACTTCTGGCTTGGAATAAAGTTATTATCAAATGATCCAAATCTGGTTGAAATCGATTCTGATATCATTTTCCTATTATTAAGAAAT